GGGATGGTTAACTTACGACCTTCAGGGGTGAGTGTGTTAGTCTTGGCAACAGTGAACACAGCCTCACCTCCCCACTCCCAACACTACGGCACTACGCTCGCGAACAGTGACATCACCCACATGAATCTGATCTATGTATTTATGTGTCCACAATGGTCAGGTCACTAGGAAGTGACCCTACTAATCTTCAAAAGCACCGCAGCAGATTAGTAGGGTCACTACCTAGTGACCTGACCATTGTGGACTTGATCTCACCCTCCTCAACTGTATGTATATATGCCTTGTTATGTATTTCTCCTTAGTCTGTACTCACCCCTGAAGATGTGAATTACACGAAAGCGCTTGGGAACTTCGTGTTTTCTTTTTCCTTGTGGTTATCAGCATATACCTGGATCACGCGCACCTACAGTGATTTACTTGCATATATATATATATATATATATATATATATATATATATATATATATATATATATATATATATATATATATATATATATATATATATATATATATATATATATATATACTGTTAATGAATATGATGTATTTCTTTGTGTATGAACCTCTGTCCTGCGTGGCAGTGAGAAGTGATACCATCCTCAGTTTCAAGACCTGACTGAATTACGCAGAATAGGCAAACTGTACTCCAAGCTTTGTCAATAAATTTGTTAAACTAAACTAAACTGCGATCTGAGAGGGTCGAGTTTCTGGCCAGTGTTGATGGCTTATTGCCAGAGGCCCAACACCGAGACCGTGGCTGTTCGGTTCCATGATAAAACCCCAACGGGGTTGTCATTTGTCAACACTAACCTAACCCAACCTAACCTAACCCAAGCTTAAAAGTGTTTTATTTTATATTTTATATATGAGACTGGGGTTTTGTCCGTTGGGGTTTTATCCGGTCACCGGCTGTACACACATAAACTCCACACTAATCGTACTACACACCTCTCACTGTGTAGATTGTGTAGACTATTTGACACTGACCATCTAAAGTGTACATTCATAAGTTAAGGGTTGAAGCACATGTATTCACGCCGGAGAATATAACACGACGCAACACCCATAAACAGCCCCAAGGTCATTCCCTCATGTCAAGTGAGATAGGACGTCCCTCACACCACCCCACTTAACCTTGGTTCACTGTAATATGTTCCTGGCGTGATGGGAGTTAACGATACGATACGATGCCCTGGTTAACTTGCTTCTATATTTGTAATTATCTTGAAATATATGCCCATGCCTTCTGAAGAAAAAACAATCTATCACAACGAATAGATCTTATCCCAAGAAGAGAAATTTAAGCAATTTTTTAATTTTATCATTAAGGCTTAAAAGAAGGGTTCGGGCCAATGATAACAAGTAGGGCATTTCGTAACATTAATTAAGAAAATGAGGACACAACACTTTGATGATGATTCTTTAAAGATAATGACTTTGTCCTGGCAGCCAGACACTGATGATAATTTGCTACAAGAAAAGCTTCTCTGAAGTAACCATTAAAACTACATCTACGCAGAACGTCATGAACACTGCTCTTTATGTGTTGGTGGTAGGAAGGTGTGGGTGGTGGGCAGGTGTGAGTGAGACAGAGGTTATTGTACCATACTCTACGAACTTAAGACCCCATTATGAAAATAACTCCAAGGGGCTGGCGACGTAGGTTCAACAGGTTTGAGCTGGTAACAACTTGCTGGCGGTTAAACCCTCCTTTCACACACACTTACATCTGACTGGTTTATTCTGGTGAACAGTGGCGAATGACGTCAAGCTGGTCTGTCTTTTAGTTAATTTTTATTTTATGTTCAATCTTTCGAGTTGCCTGGTGACTGGCCATAAAGAAGGTGCTCAGAGATAAGTGAGGTGTCTCTTCACTCCGCTTATCATACCCCAGGTAACTAATCAATGACTGAGAGCACTGTACTTGTGTTCAAATGTGAATTCACTCCATCTCGAAAATTGTCTTTCCTTAAGAACATAAGAATGGAGGAAACTGCAGCGGGCATATTGGCCCATACTGGGCAGTCCCGTTTACACCCAACCCCTATTCCTCATATATCCATCCAACCTATGTTTGAAGCTATCCAGCGTGTTCGAGTTTACGATGATGTTTGGTAACTTGTTCCACTCGCCCACTAATCTATTTCCAAACCAATGTTTACCTATTTCGCGCCTTCCAAACAGACATAAAAGCATGAGAAATATACTAAAAGAATTACTTTAAAAATATGAATGTAAAGATGTCATATTATTATAGTCAACGATACGATCTCAGTGATTTGGGTGGCAATTCCTACCGTCATCGAGGACGTAGCAGGGATCGGCCAGTTTACAGCGTCTTGACTCTCTGATGGCCAGCTCGAGTCTTGCAGTCTGCTGGTGAGTTAGACGACCTAAATCGACCAAGCTGTAGAATGGGAAATGCGGGGCAGGAGAGTGCAGTGCCGGTCATGCTGTCTCGTGTACCGAAGTCTTAATCGTCTCCTGCACAGTGTAAGTCTAAAGAGAACACTATATTAGTGTTTACCTATACAACGACAACATACTTGATCCTTGTTACACTTTGTCTCTATCTATAAAGGAAGTTGGGGAAGGCAACGGAAAAAAAGGACGTGGAACCATCTGCTCGGCCCCTCCTCCCTGGCCACCTGAAAGACATTAATGATAGTACAGTGTACACGGGAATTGTAACCCTGGACATCCATGGCCAGTTTTATCCAACCAACCACAAGGCACATGGAAAGACGTTGACGTTGTTATTTTTTAATGTTCATAATGAGCAAACAGTTATGTTTACATTGTTGCCAGGCTAACATGCCACGCTGCCTCACAACACAGCAAGGTACTGCTTTTTTTGGCTGATGGCAGAAGATTCTACAGTATGGGAAAACCATTTATCTAATAAAGACCTTGTATTACTGATTATCTAAATACATACAGTTTACATTTCTGAACGGTAAAAGGCTACACTATATAAGGTGTCTGTCCACTGCCACGACACGATCACCCTACAGCCTCGTTTCACCTACAAGTACAGTAGGTCTGTATTTCATATCTTTGATCTTATAATATTTGAATTTTCAGAATCGAATTCGTAGCTAAGGGGAACTCAAGTATATATATGTATATATATATATATATATATATATATATATATATATATATATATATATATATATATATATATATATATATATATATATATATATATATATATATATATATGTATGTATGTATGTATGTGTATGTGTTATCAGTTGATCTGTCATGGAGTGCAGAGTTACAGTACTTGCGTCTTATCTCTTATCTTACCCCACGGTGCCATACTTATAGACCTCACGCGGCTTTTGTCATGCATACCAGTTGCTAGTATTACATCAGTAGAAGTGCTGGCATATGCAATACACCCTAGGACGTGTACCGGCGTGACGGGAGTGTGTCGGGAATCCGTCCTACCAACACTGAGCATTTTCCTCTCGTGAATAAAGAAAGCGAACCTGATAATCTACTCTGTCATATTGCTGATCACAACTGCAGTTCTGCTTTACACCGGACCATATGCCAGCCATTGTACCAAAAATAGTTTGAGATAAAGGGTGGTAGGTTTACTCTGATACGTGAGGTAAGCAACATGAAAGAACACAAAACCGTATGAAGTGACTGATTCTCAGTAAGGTATTTCAAATAAAAAATCTAATAACAAAACACAAACTTCTTTTGCAGTGTCGTTAATACCTATATCGTTCTTAATTAGACCAACAAAATATTATTTGTTTCCTGAGTGGAGTTTTGGTTGATTCTGTGGCGCCAGTTACCAAGTAGTGATGAAGCCCAGACACCACATGTATTTACACCCATGGTAAGGTATATTTTGTGACATTCATTTATCAACGCATTAGTTCAACAAAAACGTGGCTATATATATATACAGTATATATATATATATATATATATATATATATATATATATATATATATATATATATATATATATATATATATATATATGCAGTATATATATATATATATATGCTGATAACCACAAGGAAAGAAGAAAACACGAAGTTCCCAAGCGCTTTCGTGTAATTCACATCTTCAGGGGTGAGTACAGAAAGTTGATGATTTACTAGAGTTCCTCATAGATTCCCTGGATAATATTTCATTGCCCGTCTCGAAAGACGACTTCATCGAACTCATCAAACTATGTATTAAGGATTGTAATTTGAATTCAATGGAGAATATTATGCTCAAAAATTTGGTATGGCAATGGGTAATCCACTCTCACCTGTATTAAGCAACCTATATATGGAATTCTTTGAAAAGAAACTATTAAGTAATATTTTACCACCTTCAGCAGTCTGGTTTAGATATGTTGATGATGTATTATGTCTCTGGCCATGTAATGAGGACCTAAAAGCTTTCCTGCCACAACTTAACAACTTAGCCCCCTCGATCAAATTCACTGTGGAATTAGAGCATGACTGTAAATTGCCATTCCTAGACTGTCTGATACACAGAATAGGTAACACTTTTAAGTTCAGTATTTATAGAAAACCTACTAATGTGTGTTCATACATTCATTATTATTCTGCCCACCATAATAGAGTCAAACAGTCAGTATTTTCAACAATGTTTTTACGTGCTTTGAGAATTTGCAGCCCGGAATTCATTGATGAGGAATATAAATATATCTATAATATTGGCTCAAACCTTAAATACCCTAGATCTTCCATAGGTAAATGCCTGAACATTACTAAGAAATCTTTTTATAGAACTGATCCCAAGCCCACCCATGACCATAAGAATCTCTTAGTATTACCATTTCACAAAAAATCCTCTCAAATTCCTTTACAACTAAAAACCTGGAACCTGGGGTAGCTATAGGATAAGGGTAAGGGGTTGTTGGGGAGGGGGACGCGGGGCAGTATAAAGGGTTAAGTACAGAACATCTAACTGAGCCAACTGGCGTGCGCATCACCAAACTTAATGTAGGACGTGTTGGCGGGAGATGGTGTCAGTTGTAGGCAGGGCGCCGCGCTGGAAGGTTGATGACCACAGCACATGACCTGCTGTCCCGGACACATTATTCAAGACACTGCTGCTATGCCTATAGACTACAAGGACAATAAACTGTTGCTGTTCTCCTTAAACACCAAGAGTTACAAGTTGCTTCTTCTCTCTCGCCAGTAAAGGCTTAAGGTGAGGCTAAAAACCCTTAATTACAGGAACAAGGTAGACTTTATTATCACCAACTGATAAAAATGTGAATAAATAAGTGAACCTATTATCACTGATTACACAAATGAAGAAAATCGTTCACCCATTGTTCATGACACGTGTGAGAGAATCTTACACATGGTATTATATAAACATTGGGATATTCACTCTTAATAAACACTAAAACAACATAATCCTCATACTTAACATGACACTGGGAGGGAACACAGTGGTTAGGAAGGTATATACTCTTTATGTATCATTTCCTGGGCACTAGAGACAAAGCTATACTTTTCATATACCATTTTTCGTGGTGAAGAGAATGTGACATGACTTACATTTTCCTACACATTATAGTGGGAGTAGAAATCATTATGGGAATTTTAATTTACGTGGTATATGAAAGAAAGTTGAATACGTATTATGAAATTTACTTGAACAAGAAACTAAGGAAAACCGCGTGAAAAAATCCGATCCTTTGTGAGTAAATTTTTAGTTCCATCTCCCCTCACTGACAGTTTTATCTCTACATTATCCTAGTCACTCCTTGGCTTGTGGTGCTGACGTCTGGGTGTACAGTATACGTTACAAATATTACCCCGGCTTTAACTTTCGTCATTGAGCATTAAACAATCAGGTATATACAGTACTCCAAAAGTTATCATGACGTGGGGAACAATTTTAAACGAGTGTTGACAAATTTCTGCAGGCACGAGATCTAAGTAGGCTATACAGAGTACCTACAGGATGTCGTCTCAACTCACTGTTCTTGTAGTTTTGGTTTGTGTCAATGAATAAGTGAACGAGATTTAAATACTATTCATTGACTTACTACATTTAATTTATTACCTTGGTGTTACGTTCAATAGTTAGTGGAAAAATACGGTTGTTGAGAATTTCGTTTCGGAATGATAACTTTTGATTGACCGATACTTTTTGTTATGAGTTAGGTCAGTTAAGGAGCTAAATAAGATAAAGATAAGTACGTGGGTGATAATAATTTGATCAAGATCAAGGTTTAGGTCAATTAGACTCGATAAAGACCGCGGATATTATGTTTCAACAGCGGCTCATAGTAACTCGCTAACGACTAACACCAAGTAATTCTGTTTCGTGGAGTATAATTAGTTAAAGGATTAAATTAACCTTAAATAAACCTTGTTATTAGGCTAGGAGAATATCCCTCACCGGGGAATTTTCTTTATCTCATGGTGACTGATAACTTGCTGGTGTTTTGTCACTATGTAACGCTTATCTGTGTCTGTCTGCTGTTTTGAGGTCAATGAAATTCAGTCCGTCACTCACTACTCCTCCCCCACGAAGTCTATATTTTTTCTTTAACTATTTTCATCAATTTAACACACACAAACACACACACACACACACACTTCATCCATGGCCACCGAAGGGTCAAGACGTATCTGGCGCTGCTCTGGCAGCAGCCAGGTTAACTGTTATGTTGGCCCATACCAACTCCCTCCCCTGAACCCCTCCTCCCCACCGGAATATATATCAACAAGTTCTCGCCAGAAGTTACTATTTCATTTAGGAAAGGAATGGAACCAGTGTTAAATAGTGGTGAACAGTGTTTAAGTCAGTGAAAACAATTCACAGTAACAGCTGAGTCGTACCCAAGCTAACCTTCACACAGTGAGGTCCCACTCCCCGGTACTGTGACACCAGGTCACGTGGTGTCCCCATGATGCTACGACACCACGTAGCGAATGAGTTGCTACAGCATCATGTAAGGTTCCTCATAAAACCATCTTTGAGGGAATTACTACACCACATCAGGCCCCTCATAACACCATCTGTGAGGGAATTACTGCACCAAGTCAAGCCCCTCATAACACCATCTGTGAGGGAATTACTACATCACATCAGGCCCCTCATAATACCATCTGTGAGGGAATTACTACACCAGGTCAGGCCCCTCATAATACTATCTGTGAGGGAATTACTACACCACGTCAGGCCCCTCATAACACCATCTGTGAGGGAATTACTACACCACGTGATGCCCTTCATAACACCATCTGTGAGGGAATTACTACACCACGTGATGCCCTTCATAACACCATCTGTGAGGGGATTACTACACCACATCAGGCTCCTCATAACACCATCTGTGAGGGAATTACTACACCATGTGAGGCCCCTCATAACACCATCTGTGAGGGAATCACTACACCACATCAGGCTCCTCATAACACTATCTGTAAGGGAATTACTACACCATATGAGGCCCCTCATAACACCATCTGTGAGGGAATCACTACACCACATCAGGTCCCTCATAACACCATCTGTGAGGGAGTTACTACACTACGTGTCTGCTGTTCAACATCCCAACGCACATGATCTACGTGACCTCCACTGTAAACATTAATCTGTATGTTCACTAATGTTCCTTCACCTTTCTCTAATGAAGACTTTTGTTAAACCACCAATGTCAATGTATGTAATAAGTCATTTATGTCCAATGTATATTTTCAGCCTTCGGTCTGCAGAACTTTCCCAATAAACCGTTAATTATTATTACACACACACACACACACACACACACAACAGAAGAAAGGACATAAAATAATAATGATGTGTGTGTGTAAGTGTGTGGGTGTAACAAGAGATGAACCTGGATGTCTTAGATCTGCGTGAAACAAAATTAGAGGAATTGAGGGTGAAGGGAGGGAGATAAGAGGACGAGTGAGAGGGTGAGGGTGAGAGGACGAGTGAGAGGGTGAGGGTGAGAGGACGAGTGAGAGGGTGAGAGGACGAGTGAGAGGGTGAGGGTGAGAGGACGAGTGAGAGGGTGAGAGGACGAGTGAGAGGGTAAGGGTGAGAGGATGAGTGAGAGGGTGAGGGTGAGAGGACGAGTGAGGAGGTGAGGTGAGAGGGAGATGAGAGGGTGAGAGGACGAGTGGGAGGGTGAGGGGGTGAGAGGATGAGGTGAAGGAGGGTGAGGGTGAGAGGATGGAGTGGAGGGGTGAGAGGGACGAGTGAGAGGGTGAGAGGAGAGGAGTGGGAGGGTGAGGGGGTGAGAGGATGAGTGAGGAGGGTGAGGAGGACAGGTGAGAGGAGGTGGGGTGAGAGGATGAGGAGGGTGAGGTGAGAGGGGTGAGGGTGAGAGGGACGATGGAGAGGTGGTGAGGGTGAGAGGACAGTGAGGAGGGGTGAGGAGGGAGAGTGAGGGGTGAGAGGACAGTGGGAGGTGAGGGGACAGGTGAGGGGGTAAGGGTGAGTGAGGGTGAGAGGAGGTGGAGAGAGACAGGTGAGGAGATTGGTGAGAGGGACGAGTGAGATTGAGGGTGGAGGGACGAGTGGGGGAGAGGGAGTGGTGGGGTGGGGAGGGATGGTGAGGAGGAGGGACGGAGTGGGGAGGGTAGAGGGGGAGGGAGGTGGGGACACGGAGTGGGAGGGTGAGGGAGTGCTGAGAGGGTGAGGGTGAGAGGATGAGTGAGAGGGTGAGAGGACGAGTGAGAGGGTAAGGGTGAGAGGATGAGTGAGAGGGTGAGGGTGAGAGGACGAGTGAGAGGGTGAGAGGACGAGTGAGAGGGTAAGGGTGAGAGGATGAGTGAGAGGGTGAGGGTGAGAGGATGAAGGCAAAGTATGTGTAGCGGGTGTTGCTGAGTGATGATTTAAGGAGGCGAATATAAGCAGCCAGTCCAGGAATTATATGATGGAAGACAGGATTAATTGGTCCCCTTCCTCTAGCTAATTTAACTTTAAGATTAACCTAACCAAACTGATTATAACATAGCCTATAACTTCACTTATAAACCAACCTGATTAGAACCTAAGTTACCTAACCCAGCATATCTTAATCTCACCTAACCTATAACCTCTCCAGGTAACGCTAAGGTGATTAATCTTCAGGTAAAAATAAGCCGGGGTGTCTAATCTTCAGGTGACCCAGAGAGTTTAATTATGGCATCGATAGATATGAGGAAAAAAAACACATGTTAAACTCATCAGAAATGGGGTGAATGGGAAATGGTTAAATGTTACATGAGGTTCTTACAGCCGAGTGAGACTGATGTGTGTGGCGGGAGAAAATGTGGGACTGTGCCGAGATTAGGTAATGCGGTGGCCATGGTCAGTGGGAATTAACATGGTTGAGGTAAGAGAGAGAGAGCATTAATAAAATGACAGGAAAGGGTATTGAACACACCACTAGAAAGGACAAATATTCAGGAAGCAGACCTAAATCAGGGCCGGATTCAGGAGTGGGCAAAGTGGGCAGCTGCCCAGGGGCCTCCACATATTACAATATTTTATTTATTTGTTTATTCATTTGGATTATTTTTATTTTCATTCTTTAACATTCATGTGTACAAATTCCCAACACACACACACATACACTTTTGTGTGTGTGTGTGTGTGTGTGTGTGTTGGGAATTTGTACACTATCAATAAATATACAGTTAATTAAAAATTTCTCAATGTTCTAATTTCCTCAATATAACTGCATATGGCTTCAAAATTCCCCAAAGAAGTGTTCAAATTTCAAAATTTTCCCGGGGGGCTTACAGCGCCCCCCGGAACTCCCAGATATTTAGGCTCGCTTCACTCGCCACCCCACCCTCTTGGGTAGCTATAATGCGGGGGGCCTCCACAAAGAGGCTGCCCATGGGCCTCCACAGGTCGAAATCCGGCACTGACCTAAATACCAGTGGCAGTGAGAGGTTTTTGTGGGCAGACGCACGCAGTTGTTGGGTAATGATCCTCTGTGTAGCGTTAAATGGTCTGGGTAGGATAAATCAACGTGGATATACGCCGAGAATTCACAAGCTGTGCGCCAGAGATTGTGAACAAAACAAAGTGGAGGTGATGTCCGTTGCCAACTTACACATTAAAAGGCATTGGTCTGCCTGACTGAATTATGACAAGAGAGAACATAAACAAATATTAATACAGCTTAGTCTACTGATTATACAATTTATTAGTACATTCTCGCGGATACATTCTCATTCACAACCACT